TTCATGTGAACTGTCTGGTATCTTGGATTCAGGCTACCTTAAAATAGACATTGTGTAGGCTGAACAAATGCTCCAAAGATGAGATGAATGGGGACTTGTGCATTGTCTCATAATGGGATCAATCAGTTCTCTACGTAGATATGCTCAGATATGATGATCAGTTAAGTTTCTTGTGAATATTTAATTATGAAGATAATTTAATATCCAAGGTAAAGAAAGAGTTGATCTGATCCAATCCAGATGACTGTTTTGTTGGGATTTGATCATGATAATCATTTATTGTGTTTTGAGAGATTTCATAAACAAGTGTACCCTCATTTGAATAATGGGTTAGAAATTTGGACAAATACTTTCTGGACATGCTTCAAAGAAAAATATTATCACCTGTAAAATGAAAAGATCTCACTTACAAGTATAGTCATTATCTTGGCATGATTTCTAAAGATGATATAATCTTTCAGTAAGCTGTGGTTTCCATATTTGTGCATTGTCACTTGAATGGAATGATGAGATAGAATCAGTTGATCAGAACTCAGGTAGCTCCAGTTCATCTGATCTAAAGGGATGTCAGTTTCAAGCAAAAGTTTGATTTAAGACTTTTCAGACATTGGGCTAATTTTTCTCAAGTATTTAAAGATATTAACAAGGATTAGACAGGCACCCCTGAATAATGGGTTTTCTAACAAATAAAAATTGTGTATCGTAGTGGCTTGGAGCTGTGCTGATATACAGGATTCTTAATTTATAGGTGACAGGCTGCCACAAAGACATGTAGAATGTGTTAATGGAAATTGCATGCTTGGCAACAAAAGACATGGATCATTCAAGTGCTGCTCCCATCATTTTTGGTATATATGTATCATAAACCAAAACATTATGAAAGTAGTAGAAAAGGGCCAACATGTTTTTGACTGCCAGCATGTCACAGGTAGTCTCTCTTCTGATGACACTGCATTTTTTTATTTACACATGTTTTCCTACAGAGCTCGGTAGGCCAGCAAGAGTACCTTGTACGATCATTGAAAGCATGTGTGTACAAAGGGCAGGGTCCTTTGTACAGACGTGTATTTTTCACTGCGTAGTTGGTATGGCGAGCTGGAGTGTTCTTTATGATTATTGTATATCGTCATTAGTTTTATTGGCTACAAAATTAAAAATTATCCTTAATATTATGCAAGGGGAGATCCGAAACAGAAATAAATTGTTTTTGAGGATTGGATTGGGGAGCAAAGCATTTTGAATTTCTGTGTATCTTTTATAAATATAAGATTGATTGCTTTCCAAAGGAAATGACCTTTTCTTCATTGTTTGTCAAAAACAAAAGCATTTTGCCCATGCCTTGTTCTCCTTGCCCCCTTCCTCAATGAAAGAATCAGTTTAGTACAGGAAAGCTTTGTCATAATTGTTTTCATTTGAGGATTTGCATTACCATGCATGTTTACGAAACAGTTGAAATAAGCCATTTGATGTGAATTTGACTGTTGTCGTTTTGTATCATTTATATAGTTTTTAGAGCTTTTTCAAACATGTAACACCAGTTTTACAGTCTTAATTTCTGATTGTTAAAGGCGTTTTGGAAGTTTTACTCTTTTGCCGTATTATAATGAGCACAAACATAGTTACTTATCCTTTTTTTTAAATATCAACATTACATTGATTCACTTCATTAGATGGTCCTTGCATAAGGCTCAAACACTTAATAAGCTTAAAAATCTTTGAGACAAAAATGTAAAGAGCACAACTTTTATGAGGCTTAATTTCTGTAGGGTACTTTTAGTGGCACTGATTTACAGTTGACATGAGTCTATACTTATTTTTCTGTCAAGTTATCCCTTTTCATTGATGGAAGAAATCCTGGTTAGTTACTTCCAGCAATTTTGGAAAGGTATTTGTAGTTTTTCCCCTTCTCTTTACACCTGAAATTCTGTTTCCGGATCCAGAATGCAGTAGTCATATTATTTCTTGTTCAGTTGCAAGGAAAGAACTTGTGAACTCCCATCTTGTTACAGGTCTATGTGGTAGTTGGTTTTTATCTATAAAGGAACTGGTTGCTTGTTAATCTTACTCGCACACACCTATGAGTACCTCCCAAGGAGAAAAACCATTCAGAAACACTTTCCCAGTATATCTTGGTGTATGTTATGTTCCAATTTTTTTTGCTTAGACAAACTTAGATTTATGAAACAAGTTTTCATGGGAAAGACCATTGGATTTAATGCTTGCATGTCTGTTATAACAGGGGAAGGAAACTTGAAAGTATTATTGGTTCAAAGTTTACGGGCAGATACACCCAAGATCACACTGTTTTGTTGAATGATTAATATTGGACCTTTTCAAATTTCTGTGTTTAAGGCAACTTTGCCAAGTTTTGGACTAAGTGAAATCCAGCAATTATCACTACAGGGTGTCCCAAAAAAATTACAAACCCTGAGGAAAGGGGTTAATATGCCCAAACCATAAGATATTATTATAATGTATAAGGATCTCCGAAAAGTATAAGCAGTATTCTTTCTAATGATACCTTGATGGTATCCCTCCTGTCATGCATGACTGAACACCATTGTCTTGAAAATGGGGCATCCGAACTCAGTTGTAACACTTTGGATAAACCAGTGAATGAGGTTGCCCTCTGTCATGCTTGTCCTAGTTGAAAGTGGCAAAAAAGGTTATGTTAATGAGGGAAGATTGCCTTTTGTCACTTTCAAGATATGCAATAATCTGGTTTAAATGTGTTGACTCGCCCCGAGGTAGGCCAGTGCAGTGTTGAAAAGTGTTCGAAGCAGGACAGCAAGTCTGCAACATGGTGCAACTTACCAAGTTGCAGTTCCATCCATACTGAATGCATATCCGCCTCCAACTTTCGCGTGGAGACAGGAGTTTGCTCAATGACTCCTTGAACGCTGTCAGGGCAATGAAAGGTTTCTTGAATGGTTGACAATCTGTGATGAAGCAGCATTTGGGATGAATGGAGAAGTTAACACCCACAACAATGTTGAATATGCACCGAAGGGGCACCCGCCAAATTTTAACTTTGAAACCAACGTGAGTCGTGAGAAGGTCACCATTTGGGTAGGACTCTGTGGGAATGGTGTCATTATTGGACCATTCTTTTTCGAACAGCATATGAATGGTCAATGATACTTCCACATGATTAGCGAAGATGTGGTACACCAACTTCAAATGCATTTTCAACTGCATGAAAATGGTGTTTTCCGACATCCGTGGTGGCACCATCGATCAAGCTTCACAACAGCTTCTATCATGTGTCCGGCAACGACCGTATTGTGTCCTGGTGTGACAACAAGATCATTTTGGATGCATTTGAAATGCATCCATCCGTAGCCATGCATTTGCCCAGACTTACGTAGTTGATCCTGCAGGAACTTAATAACTTCATTATTGCTACTGTTGTGTGTCGAATGATAAAGATGAGATAAGAATAAACATCAGGTGCTTAAAAGAAAATGTTGGACCACTCTTGTCAAGTTGGTCATCATTTACTTGACATATACATGTACCTTCAAGTATGCTTCGATAACCGGTCCACGGTACGTCGGCAAAAGCAAGATTGTGCACAAATTTGTAGTGCACAAGCGCCGGTATTTGACTCGTATGTATGACTTACATGTCCTACATACAAGTTACATTATCAATAAGTCGTACATATGAGATGTAAGACCAACGGACGAGATATAAATCGTACGTACGAGATATGAGTCGTACGTTCAACTTACAAGTCGTACGTACGAGTTAGCTTGAGGAGAAAAGACATTTTTTTTGCCTCTAGAACAGCTTCCATACTATGGTGCATTGTCACCTAGAACCTCCATCTGAGCTGGCCCAACAGCTACACTCTCCAAGTGTGGGTGGGTTATGATATGTCCCCAACTGAAAGCCAGGGTGGAAACCAGCTGGTAGAAGATCCGGGTTTCTGGTAGAAGATCTTAAGGAAGCCTGTAGGTGAGCAGCACAGTGGCAGGGACAACCAACCAGTGCCATGACCACTCGCGGAACCCTGCAGTGTGGCGTTGCCAGACCGGATGTAACCCAAAGCAAGATGCCCGTGCCACCTGTTTGGTAGACTCGCTTACGCCCCAGACGGCCAGTAGAGGGGCGTAGATGGACCGGAGGTTGCTGGGTGCTAAAAGACTGCACACAGGGAGTGTCTTAAGATGCTAAGATTGCCCAAGTGGCATTACCAGTACCAGACAAAAGCTGATATGACTGTGAGTCACCCAATAGTGCTCCTGTCTGCATAGGCTTTGCGCCATGAATTTATTTTGTGGCGACACAATACCCTAATAGTCCATTTCACGAAATGTTGCATAACTGCGCCACGTTTCTTGGATTTCTCGGACGACGACAAAAACGGCTTTTACGATGGCTGTTCATTTCCAATATAACAACAATCATCAAACACAGTTGTGGAACAGTTCTTCTTTCATTGGAACAGACAGAAACTCTCATAGGTTTTTCACACCAAATAAGTTTTTCATTTCCAAGTTGTACCTTTACCTTTACGTTTCTCATACAAACCGTAAGTTCAGCAATGGTGAGGCTTAACTGAACAATGACAAGCTAGTCAAATCGTTCGTTTTGCTTTGTTGGGCACAACTTACACACAATAAATATGCATGGCATAAGTTGAGTTACGCCAAATGCGTAACATGTTGTGAAATTGGCCGGACCATGGGAAGTCATAAAGATATTAATGAATTTAGGGCAGAACTCAGTCGAAACAGGTCCGTACCAAATACAGAAGAACTGAAGAAAAAGGAAGATAAGATCAAGATAGTTAAAAAAGTTCTTAGCGACATTGCCACATCTAATAACTTTTGTAATTTTATTAAGTTACCTGCGACACTTGCAGCTGAGCTAAAAATAAAATTCTTAACAGTTTCTGATAATCGCCTACCTTTAACAAAGAATTATGTCATTCAATGAAACGTATATAAAGTAATCTTTAAAAGAGTGGAAATTTCCACTTTGGATTAATTGTAACTGGTACAAAAGTATGTTTTGTTATGCACTCAGACATATGACGACGGGACCTTGTACTTCACCAAACTCACCTTGATGCACATGGGGACCTATACGTGCTACGTAGAGGGATACAAGTCGGTGCAGCAGACCTACACTGTGGAAGTCCAAGGTATGACATCACTTGGAAACCGTAATTTCATTAATCTGAGTTGATTTATTTGATCTAATTTCAGTATACATGTAATTCAATCAGTCTAAAAAGGCTCTACATTCGAAATGTTTATTTCAATGCCATTGTTAATAAAAGGCATGAAGTGAAGAATGTAGCTTATACTTAAATGTAAATGTTCTAGTTTACCTCGAATGTCATTCACATTGCATCAAGCTTGTTAACTGGAAAGATTTTGTAAATCACACAGAAGAAAAAACTTGTCATGATGGAAGAGTGTCAGTGTCTTGAAAGTGATTTATTGTGGATTGTTGATGTTGAAGGTAGATGGATAGATATTCTGATAAGATGATGAATTAACACATCCCATCTGGTTAAACACCCCATCCCATTTGAAGCAAGATATGGGACAGAGAGAACCCCCCCCCCCACCTTTGTGTTGGTCATTGTTTGATCAGAATCTCTGGAATTCTTTACAGACTTCTAGGGAGGATGTGTTAGGTAACAAGAATCTAGAGTGTGTATAGGATTGGACAGGTAAGGGGGGGTACCCCTCCATCCCATATCTTGCCTGGTATACTCCATCCCATAAAACAAGTTTGTGTGTTCTCTGAAGATAACTCAATTGATAGTAAACCAACATGTTTTCTTCCCATTCTTTAAGTTCCACCTTCGGTGCACACCTGTCCCAACTTCAGGCTACAGTCCCTGGGTAAGACGGCCAAGGTGCAGTGCTACGCCCAGGGTGTCCCTGAACCAGATAAGTGCTGGAGCCAGAGAGGAGTGACGATAACCGAAAGACCTGGACTTACAATTGAAGGTGAGTGAATTTTGGATTTTTTTTGGGGGGGGCCCTGTCCAATGTGTATTTTGTAAACACTGTATACTCAATGTATGCCCCCAAAAGCTTGTGAAAAAGCCGACACCGCCAAGCTTGTAGGTCGAGTAGTTAAGACATCTGCACTTGTAAGCAGGTGGTCATAGGTTCATGTCCCACCCAAATACGTTTGTGGTTTTTTCACAAGCCTTCAGGGCATACACTGAGTATGCAGTGTTTAAGAATACGTCAGTGTCAGACAGGGCAAAAAATTCAACATTGATTTACATCTCCCTGGCACAAATCCATCTTTGAAATAGTTGAAGGTGAGCTTTAGCTGGAACATGTTTAGACTTTTGGTGTAAGCAAGAGTGTGTCAGAAATTTGAATGCCCAAATGATGAAGTACAAGGCAAAATATCTCAAAAGCAAACTTATTTAAAATTGTACTAATTACAAATAAAATGCTTTGCTCTCTGCTCTGCTTTCAGATGGTAACACCACCGTTCACGTTGAAAGCCTTGACTACCCAGATACTGGCAAGTACCTGTGCAGAGCTAGCAACCCAGTGGGTACTGTGCAGGCTGTCTCGTCTGTCTTTATTCAAGAAAATACCAAAGGTAACAAGTCATCCTATCAGTTGATTGCTAAAAGGTATTAAAAATTACGTTAAAATTACGTCAATTTTTCTTAAAGGGGAACCTTTCAAACGTGAATTTGAAAGAAAACGCGTTCAAGTGAGGGCTGCGTAAATGATTATGGACAATAATCAACTGATCACGTCCAACATCATGTTTATATAGTAGGTTTTACCCCATCAAGTATTCTTTCCTGCGAATAAAGAAATTTGTGTTTGATTTGGGAAAATAATGAGTGTGGGTGGGGATGAAGGTTCTGAGCAGAGCCTTTGGTACGAAGAAGGTGATTGAATAAGCCAATTTTTTTTTTTTTTTACTTATTGGCAGTCTTCCATTATCTTCAGGGTAAAATAATCCTTGATTACTTGAGATTCAAGAGTGTGTTGTGAAAACTTAAGAGGTTTATGGTCGATTCTTTTGGGCAACCCTGTTGTGTTGAATCTAATTTTGGTGTGGGACATGAAGGATTTTTGCAGGATGATCCTTCATGCCCCACTGTTTACTGCAGGCTGCAGAACAGGTTTAATGGAGTGTTTCAAGAACATAGTTAACCATAGTTTGACTAACTCTGATCAAATGCACGCTAGTCCACAATTGCACATTCTCGAATTTGCTGAAGAGCAGGTAAAGTTGACCTAGCACTGGACCTATTTGCAGCAATATTTGCAGATACGTGTATTTGCAGAATCCCAGTTAAATTCATAAGATGATTTCTTTCAACATAAGAGGTAGTTTGGTAGTGCACTCTTGCAGCCCTGGATCTGGTTAACTCCTAGGAAGTGTAAAAGAAATATGACACAGTTAATTGTAAATTTAGGATGACAAGTTTTGAGAGCTATTGAATCTAAGTTCTTCTTGTCTTATACATAAAATAGTTTTCGTGAATTCTTCAAATACATCATTTTTGCAGAATTTAAGGTAGTTGGCTGCAAAAAAATTGTGAAATATAATTCATACACAATGAAAAGGGATGCCTTGTTGTGAAATTGCATTAACTTGGAGGAATTTGTTGGAATGCATACAAAAAAGAATGCTTGATTTTTTAAACCAAATGACTACTTTCCCAAAATGGCCAAGAAAACCCATAAAGCCAACATATGGATAAATTTTAGTGTTTCGTTTGCTGCAGCTCTTGACTTCGGGCCCGTACATGTCTTCTACCTGTTCCACTCACACGGAATCCGCATCTTGGAGCCAGACTCCTGTGGGTTCCGACTCAACATCCCACCCAAGCATGTCCTCCCTAAGCCCCACGGCCTGCTGTGCCCACCGTCCCCAACCGGTGAGATAGCCTGCTCCTGGGGCCAGGCAATCAATGTGCTGAACCAGTTCCTGTATGTCACACAGCCCAACAACAACCGAATAATTGTTGTCGACATACGTACACAGTTGATTATCGAGGTATGGAATCTTTAAACATCTTGCTATGAAGAATCTGACAGTTCAGTTGGTGACTATAGTTGTCCACGGAATGGTGCTCAGATTTCATGATTCATAAATTGTTTTTTCATCCCATTATTTAAATTTTACTCACGTGTCTTGAAGCCAATTACGATAGTCTATCTTTGATTACAGGTTATTCAAACCGACCGAGTTCCTTTCTCTCTTCATTACATTCCCCACCTCGACACTGTGTGGGTCGTCTGCTGGCAATCTACCGATCCCAATGGAGGCCAGCGATCAGTACAAGTGATCAAGTACGTCAGTCACCGGGAGATGCATACCCCGATCCATACTACCCCGATTGGGCACCACTTTGACGTTGTGAAAGGGCTCTACATTCCTCAGGTTCAGATCCCCAATCAGGGAAATTACAAATTTGGGTACGTTGTTCACAGTCAACAGATGGCGATCACCAAAATTAACCTGGAGACAACCACTTTGTCCTCCACCATCGTCTTGAGCCAGCACCAGTGTTATCCCGACTCGGTGGCCTTTCTGTCCATAGGCGGTTATGTCATCGTGAGTTGTGCAGACGGAGGTGAGTCTCAACCATCCAGACAGCTGTTCCTTGACTACCTAACCGATACCGTGCTTCATACTAATGAGGGTATACAAGGAACACCCTACATATCTCCAGATGGACGGTACATTATAAGTGCCGATAACCAGCATGGTTTGATATATGTCCAGAAAGTAACCCTGTCAGGAAAGGTGAAATCCTTGTTTGAGGTCAGTACCAATCTGGGTGTTAGTGACGTCGGCTTTTTCCCTACCAAAGCAAGTACCCATGCCTACGACATCATGGTCACATCAAGTGACCGTCCCGATGTCCTTTTTGTCGATCTTCAAACCAGCAAGGTCAAGATGATCCCAGGTGTGTTTGATCCAATCAACCCAGATAGTTGGCCCTGGAATGAGCACAACAGGCACATCGTCAGCAGTGGCGTATTTGGGTCTCATTTGGCCACGCCCAGCGCCGACCATGTGGTGTTAATTGATGGCAAGAAGAAATCTGTTCATTGCAATGTAGACGTTTCACAAAGTAATGTGATCGTGTGGGTCGGAGACTGTTACTAATCACCATCCATTTAGTCATATTCATGCAAATACCTTAACCCGCGCCCCTAGTCACAATAAAACAGCGTAATAAAAGTAATACAACTTTGTGTGCAGACTCTTTATCCAGTCTGATGTAATAAAAGATTTCAGTACTTATCGCATCGCTAAAATATTGTTTCCATTGCAATATCATTCCCACTCTTCATCGTCTACTTCACATAATATTTATTTTCCTGTGCAGTAACTAAAATTTCAGACCATAATCATAATTAAAAATTATCATCATCAATATACAGCGTTTTAAACCAGCTTTTTAAAACAATATTGTGTCATTACCCACAGAGCTTTATAAATACTATCAGAAACTAATATACTATTTAGGCATATAACCAGATTCTGGGTATGTTTTGGTTGGGGTTTGATTTTAACTTCTGTCTGTAAAGTTAACAGAAGTAAATTCTACGTCAAAGCAGGAAGTCTTCAAAATGTCATTTGCATGTGGTAATGTCAATAAAGGAAGCTATTTCAGATTCGTCGATTTTCAGGTTAAGAAATCATGAATGCATTTTTCATCTGCATTATTGTGAATGTCCAACACCAGAGATTCAAAAAGCTTATTTGACTGAATGAAATGGTATAAAGATGTATGACTTTGGGGATATTGCAGCTCAGGATATAAAGCATCTGCTGAGTGTTTGTATGTTGTGCAAAGTTGGTGATTGGTGTCTTTTAAAGGTGTCTTGTATACATCTAAGATTCTTGTAATGTTATGTTACCTTGTAGACTTGATACAATTAAATAGTTCAGGAAAAGTGGCTAGTAGTAAATTATTCATTGAAGCTGTAAAATGTTAGCTTTGATATTGGATGTTGTAGATCAACAGGAGCAGCAAACAGTGCAGGCAGGTTAAAGAATTGTAACTACTTTTCCAGTATGCATGATTCTATGCTAATGTGGTACTTCAAGATTGAGAAATTGTGTCGAATTTGATGGTTTCACTCACTGTCTTTGCGCACCTACAATACACCTACATGTGGTGGCTATATGGTATATCGCCAATCATCAATATTTGTGACCAACATTCACGACTCGCACTTCAGTCACAAATGAAGTTGCATTTTGCTAAAACTACCCACACAAATAAAAACTTGAGATCAACCCAAAAATGTAGAACATTGCATGTGCTTGTGAATACTTCATTTCCGTCTAGCTTGTTGAAAAAAAAATAGTGATAATGTTTGCGACCGCAGATAGGAGTCGTGAATTTTGGTCATAAACATTGACAACAACATTCGCGATTGGAAAGCAAATCCTGAACTTGGTCACAGATATTGACAGCAGTATTGACGATTTGCGGGGTCCCTCCACGGCCGCCATACATGCAGTTGACTTTTAAAGTGGATGCATGACAAACATTTAAAACTTTACGTGTGCCGCTTGTATTATATCTTCGTTTATTTTTTACCAATAATGTGCGTTAAGTCTCAACCTGATATTTTTATAATTTCCAATTTAGATTTTGGACTATGTTAAGAATATCATATGTCATTTGATTTGTATTTTAAGTCTATTTTAAGGTATTTTATATATTTTGGTGCATAAACAGAAGTGAGGAATTTGTGACACCACCACAATCACATCGCAACAGCTAAGGCGAAAAGCAAATAGAATACATTCTAACTCGAGTCATTTTTCAGAGGAAGTTTTTTTTGCTTGTTAATTTGCACTCAGTAACTTAAAGTTATGAAAAAGCATGAAGTTATGAGGCTTTTAAGAGAAAGCACTCTAAAGCCTTATTCTTTCACCCACTCTTTTAGAGAGATATGTTTCCCTGTTTTCTCACGGTAGTTAAATGCAATGAGTTGTAAGTGATACTAAATTTGTATCGATTTATTTTCTTCAAGAGGAATTCAAACAGCACATTGCTTTCCATGAAACAAATATGATTGCAACAGATGGTAAATACCATACCATTTTATGAAATGAACAGGAAAAATTAGCATAGCTTTTCTGTTTATGGTGGATCAAACGTCGAAAATATGGGCCTGCGCGTAGGCCTTTAGCAGTGGTTTCAAAGAACACTTATTAAGTATTATATTATGCAAGTGACATGGTGTCCAACATATATCCATGACAATGACATGACAATGCGAATGTGTACGTATTTACAATGTGTGTACATGTACAGTCACAATGTACATGTACGTATATGGGATCTAAAAAGGTACACATTCACGTGTATGTACATGTACACCCAAATGTGCACATTCGTACTGACACATTTCCAGGCAAACTTCAAGGCAAGATTTCAAAACTCCCTGTCATTGCTGATAAGTGATATCCTTTAGGATTTTTGGACGTCTTTATACGAATCCAGACAGAAATCAACTTTTATTCCTTGATAATTCTTTTCCCGTCAATACTCCATTGTTTATGGGCTTTTGGGTTTATCTGTTTCAAGAAACAGGTGTCAAAAATGTGTTAACCTGATTCCTTTTAAACATCGTTTTTACCTTGAAAGTGTCTGTATTGTAAGTTGGCATCTACTTTTAATGTTGAACATATACACAGAGAAGGGTTTGGTGAGTGCACAGTGATTGCAGTCTGATTTCATAGGTGTGTGATTGTGTAATTAGAATTGCTAGTGTGTGACACAAAGTAAGAAGGCGTGCACCTGTTCCGTATTTACCCATGTACCACGCACTATTTGCAAATCGTGTAATGTACTGCAATGCACAGCTGCACAGTAGTTGAAAGATATAATAAACGCTATCGAGTCCATTCGTCGTTAATCATTTTGTCCTTAATTCTTTGTGGTTTGTTCTCCCACTGTTCTTTTTGTCCACGCCTCACTCTTCCATGCTTTTTGTGTTTCTCCATTCAGCTCTACTCTACGGTATGTCTGTGTAACAGCCCAGTCAAATTTAGGCCTCTGAAAAACTTGCCAAGTTCGAAATGAGACTATCCAATCAGCTCTCCCCAAGGATTCCAGTAGTTTCGTGTTACGTTTCTCATCTATTTTTTTCGCACTATCTGGCTGGCCACTGGATAGGTTTTGCACTGCAAATTCAAGGTCATCTCTTACATGACCGTAATTGACTTTTGTTTTGTTTGTGTTTGGTGTTTTGGTGATTTATTGTGACAATTCCTTGAAGAAAATAGTGTTGAAAGACTGTCAACTAGACTGATGGAATGAGAACCACCAATTTCCTTTGGTCCACGGACTAACTTGATGGGTCGACGAACCCCTCCAACACTGGGAAAATGACATATTTTGATGATACAGCACTTACTTCAGAGAAATGCTAATTTAAATAACGGGTTTTGCTCTTACCCAACGTATATATTTGATAAACATTGTATGCTCAATGCTTGTTCGAGAGCTTGCGAAAAAAATTCACAAGCTTACTCGGGTTGAACTCGAACCCCCAACCCCCTACTTACCAGTGTAGACGTCTCAACCACTCGACCACCGACCTTGCTGGGGTCGACTGGCCGGTCCGAGTCAGGTGAAGCAGCGGGTACCGCGAACTATTTTCAAGATGTCTATTTCTAAGAGGGGGTCGTGGGTTCGAGTCCCACCCGAGTAAGCTTGGAATGTTGGACATCTCGTACCCGGGACAATTCGTACCAGGGACAACTCGTAACCCAAGAGAAAATTGCATACTATCAAGCTTGTTGAGATATGGAGAATAGCATACCAAAACTAAGTCTTTTTGCAATTGTTGCGTGGTAGAAATAGAATTGAGGAAGAAAACAAAACATGGAAATAAAAGCTTCAGGCAAAACCCTCTGATTAGCAAGCATTGTTTAGGTAAATATGGTTCCGGTCTACACTTGTTTAATTCTTTCTCATTATTTCCACTCTCCCCAGGCTCCACTACAGTCCCCATGCAGAAATAAATCACATTATGACAAACCCTGGAATAAAAACATGTTTATTCGTAAAATTCGTTATTTGTAAATTCATAATCCCATTTATGACTTTTGAGATATACATACGAGAATAAAGAGAAATGCATGAGCTTTCCAGTGATACCGCATTTATACTCGTAGGCAACTCCGCTCTGAAAATACGACGCGAAAAAGACTAGAGGAAACATCGCTGAGGTCAAAACTACTTTTCCAAGAAAAACTTCAACTGATTACTCAAAGCAGTGTTTGGTGGAATCATTCCTCATTTATAGCCTCAGCAGGTGACATTTTTTCCGGGTAGGAAGTGTCCCAGTGGCTCATTTGGACATTTTTTGCATTTTCTTAGTTGAGATATGTAGGGCGTACCCAATGACCGGACGTGCAGCGTACAGTACCGAAAGGTGGGAAATGAGAAAATACTATGCATGACCAACTTAAACGCAGGGATTCTTTCCACGATAATGTTCTAACCCGTCAAAACATGGTCTTGAAACTTGTACCAGTGCAGGGAGAAAGAGGTTCTCTTTCAGATGTTACCACGATTAGTTCATTTGGACAATTTGTGGATTTTCTTAATTGAGATGTATAGGGCGTACCGAATGACCCTACGTGCAGCGTACATTACGGACGTGGTGAGAAGTGAGAAAATACTACGCGTGACCAACTCAAGCTCTTGGATTCTTTCACTATAATCCTTTAAACCGTCCAAATATGGTCTTGAAACTTCCCCCATTACAGAGAAAAAGAGATTTTCTTTCAAATGTCACCACGATTAGTGCCTTTGGACATTTTTTGGATTTTCTAACCTGAGTTATTTACATCGTACCCAAGGACCCAACGTTCAGCTTACGAAACCAATGATGTTGGAAATGAGACTGTGCGTGACCGATACCAACTCCAGGATTCTTTCCGCGATAATCCTCTATCCCGTCAAAATATGGCCTTGAAACCTTTACAGTAGATAGAGAACGCGTTCTCTTTCGCTTGACAACAGCGATTGGCTCATTTGCACAATTTTGCATTTTCTTAATTGAGATATGCAGGACGTACACAATGACCGGACGTCAAGCTTACATTAATGACGATGTTTGAAAGGAGAAAATGCTGTGCGTGACCAACTCAGACTCCGGGATTATTTCTACGATAATGCTCTAACCCGTTCAGATATGGTCTTGAAACTTGTACCAGTGCAGAGAGAAAGAGATTCTCTTACAGTTGCCATCACGATCGGCTGATTTGGACAACTTTGGATTTTCTTAGTTGAGATATGTTAGGCGTACCCAATGACCGGACGAGCAGCGTACAGTACTGACAATGTGGGAAATGAGAAAGTACTATGCGTGGCCACCTGAAACGTAGGGATTCTCTCCAGGATAACCCACTATCCCGTCAAAAGATTTCCTTGAAACCATTACAGTAGAAAGAGAACGCGTTCTCTTTCGCTTAACAAGAGCGATTGGCTCATATTGTCTATCAGATGTCCCCACGATTGTTTCATTTGGATAGATTCCTGATTTTCCGAGTTGAGATATATATACGTCTTATCTCTAGAAAAAACATATAGCTTAACGCACGGCTAAGAGGAAAATCTCGTAATAAAAAAATGTGACTGACTCAAACTCTTCCCTTCCATCAATGAAGAGGTCCTAACTTGTCAAAATATTCCCATGAAATAATAGAAAGAGACACATATTCTCTTTCAGATACCACCGCGATGGCTCACTTTGACAATTTGTTTACTTTATTCACTGAGATGAATAGAGCGTACCCAATGATACAAAGTGCTGCGTAGACGGACAATGTGGGAAATGAGAAAATAACAAGGGTGACCAACTCAAACACGTGCCTGCTTTCTTCGATAATTCTCTATTCCGTCAAAATATGGTCTTGAAACTTTTACAATAGATAGATAAACACGTTCTGTTTCAGTTTACACCACGATTGGCTGATTTGGACAATTTTTGGATTTTCTGAGTTCAGATATATATCTGGCGTACCCAATGACCGGACGTTCAGCTTACAGTACCGAAAATGTGGGAAATAAAAAAATGCTATGCTTAACAAATTCAAACTCCTGCCTTCTTTTCAAGGTAATTCTCTATCCCGTTAAAATATGGTAAGAAATCTTGTTGCAGTTGAGAGAGAAAGATATTTTCTTTCAGTTGTCACCACGATTGTTTCATTTGGATAGATTCCTGATTTTCCGAGCTGAGATATATACGTCTTATCTCCAGAAAAAAAACACTTTCCTGCTTTCAGCGTACAGTACCGATACACAGAGCGTTCCAAATGATACAACTTGCTCGCTCGGGCAACAGAACTCACACTTCTGCTTTATTTCCAGAATAATTCCATAACCCGTCAAAATCTGGTCTCCAAACTTGTACAATAGATAGAGAATTACATGCTCTTACAGATGACAGCAGCATTGGCTCATTTGGAATTTTTTTTTATTTTTCTCGTTGAGATACACATAGCGTTCCCAATGACACAACTTACTAGCTCGGAAAACAGCTAGCGTAGAACTGACAATCCTGCTTCATTTC